CAGCACCAGCACCAGCACCAGCACCAGCACCAGCACCAGCACCAGCACCAGCACCAGCACCAGCACCAGCACCAGCACCAGCACCAGCACCAGCATCATCAACACCAGCACCAGCACCAGCACCAGCAGCACCAGCATCATCAACACCAGCACAAGCCTCATACAGCAAATTCTCTTCTCACTGTGTTAGGGTTGCTAAAGAAGCTTTTCCTACTTCTCCAGAGGACAAAGCTCATGTTCGGAATGTTCTCCTCAAGATACAAAAAGATCCGAGGACCTTCTGGAAAAATGACCAAGTTAACAGTGGGAGGCCGGAAGCCGATGATGTGCGTCGAACGGAGATTCTGAAGCGGCTGACCCAGAACGTTCGGGATATAGGCGCACGCGAGGCGGTTACGATACTTATCTTTGCGACTGATACTGAATCTACCGCCCAAAACACCGCAGGTTCTACTAGAAAGTCTATGAGGTCGAAGCGCGTCAGACCCAAGGCAAGGACTATACACGAAGAAAAAGCCTTGAACAAAGAGACTTTAACGCGGAGGTGCGGTCTTAGATTCAAGGAACTTGGCGTCGCAGGCACAGTGTACATCAGTTGTAAAATGAGAAGCCCATGGCCTTGGGAGCGCATGACTGACGAAGCTTTCAAATTCATGCGCTCCGTTGTTGAAAAGGAGCTAGCCAAGCTCGACCTCCCAGAGACCAAGGATTCTCTCGGGCCGCTTACCTCTGCTTTCTGGGGCATCGACACAGCCAGTCAAGAGAGTTTGAATTCGATGCCGAACCACTCTCTCACTCGCGTACGAGAGCCAAACAGTTCTCGGCGCCTAGAAGCTACCGGAGACAGTTTTGATCTTAACCTCACAACCTCACCTGGCACTGTGAGCAGTTCCGCGAACTCAAGCCGTGCCAGTCCATCTACTGAGCCATTGACTGCACCTGACGTAGAAGAGATCTTACAACCCGATATCTCTGCAGCTGTGTCATCCTGCGCACTGCCTCAAGGTCTTCGAGGCGACACGGTCTGGCGGGACGATACGGCTGTTGACGGATTTCACAGCGTCAGCAGTTTCGAAACTATCGCACTCAATCCGGCAGAAGACGCGGTGAACCTGCCTGGCACCACCGATGACCCTGAGTCTGCTTCCCTTGAGAGGTCGGGCAGCGGAAACAACGATCACTCGCAAGTTAACGGCGACACGGACGTCGATGGAAGTACTTCCTTGTTCCCTGAACACGCGTATTGTTCTTCTAATACAAGGTCAGCACTCGTATCGCCTGATCAGTCAACTTCGAACCGAGCAGACATTATATCTAGAGCTCCCCAGAGACAATCCCGATTGAAAAGGCTCAATCCGCTCGAGCCTCATTACCATAGTGTGCATAATTTTAATCATCCAATGCCAGGCAGTATCCATAGCGGTTTGAAGCGACTTCGAACGAATGCAAACGGAACGTGCTCAGTATCAAAAGAGAGCTTTACGAATACATATATTCTCCCGACCCAGCTTCTTCCGATCTATGATCTAACATACCAGCTCCAGCTTTCCATTCAGAGGAAAGTTCCGGACACAGCGGAGTCAATTTTGTTTGCTATGAAGGGAGATACCAGCGCTCTGAAGCGTTTATTTGGCGAAGGGCTGGCGTCTCCAGTAGAAGTGAGCAGTTCTCGAGAGCTTTCTTTGTTAGGAGTATGTACTACTTAACTTTCCGTACACTGGTAAATAGCTAACAATGTTTAATAGTGGGCGCTCTACGCCGGAAGGTGGAACTATCGTACTGTTCAGTTTCTAGTCATGGAGTGCAATGCGCCTGTTGATGATTGGTGAGTCGGAATATGGAATCAAGTAGCATCAGCTGTATAGAGAAAGCTACTGACCGCCCATTCTAGGTCCTTTGACCATGCATGGGAATATGCATATCGCAATAGTTACGACATAACGGAGCTTAAAGGGCTAGAATGCATTATGGCTAACCCGACCGTTCATAGAGATTGGAGAGAGGAGCAGAACTTTTTTCCAGTCCATGAAATTGTCCTTGGCCGATCATCTAAGCTGCTGAAGACTGAGCTTGACGAAAATCCGAGCTCCGTATTTGCCACGGATGCCAAAGGTCGCACCGCGCTTGCCTGGGCCTCGGCCCGGGCCCAGTTGACTGACATGAAGCTCCTGATAGAACGCGGCTCCCAAGTAGACGCCATGGATACCAGCGGCCGCTCCATTCTTCTGAATGCAGTCGACAGCTCTAACAACGAGGGACTTCGCATCATCCTCGAAGCCGGGGCAGATCCAAACCCAGTATTGCCCGAGGGCCTGTTCCGCAGCAGCCCCCTTATTGCGGCTAGCACAGGTGGCAAGCTGGAAATGATCAAATTGCTTATCGAATTTGGTGCTGAGATCGGTGCGACCAATCCGGAGGGATGGACGGCACTACAGGCAGCTATTAAAGCGCAAAACGTCGAATGTGCAAATATTCTGCTCACCCACGGCGCTGACCTAGGCTACATATCCAAGAATGGTCATTCAGCGCTTACGACGGCGATAATCTACAACAGCCATGCTGTGCTCAAGCTCTTGATCGACTGGTACCACGTTAGTCATCTCAGTGGGCTCCAGCTGCTGCCCATTATAGCAGAGTCCGCGGACGCGCAGACGATGTCGATTCTCACAGCGTCGGCCCTAAAGCAGACTCTACTAAGTGGATGCGAATTCACTACCTGCTATGAAACTCTTCGGTCACGAAAGGACTATAGTGAAGGATTGGGTATCGCCTTTAATGAATTTTTGACTGACATGGGCCCGTGGCGGAAGTAGCTGCTTTGCGCGGAGTCAAACATAATTTCACCTGCTTGAAAAATCTATCATGTTATATTAGAGCTGTAGAACGTATACGTACGTCTAGAGGTCTAGAAGATTCCTATTATTAATAGAGAGAAGGATCTAGAATGTATAAGGAGGAATATACAAGGAACGGTCTCTCTATGTATTTAGTTCTCTATCTAGTCTTTACTTTAAGAATTATACTATATTCTTATTAACTTTAAGCTATACTCCGCCGATCCATTTATTATATAATAGTCCATTACGTCTAGATCCTATTATATAACTCTATTTAGGTATATATTCCACTCTAGGAATATATATACCTGTCCTTTTTCACAAGTTATGAGCCCGGAGGCTTATAGCTTATATTCGGCTGCTCCAGCTATAGTGACGATTGAGGTCACCGGGACTGCCCTACTCTCTGAGGATAATGTTGCTAAGATCTTCATAGCTTAGCGACTTGAAGAATTCATTCGTCAGCGGTGTCCACAACTTCTCCCCAAAGAGCAGCGACTACGAGCATCTTGGCAGGGTTGTTAGTTAGTGTTCTTAAATCCAGGAGCCGGAAGCTACTAGTTGATATCCTATTACAGATGTTCCAGTAACACTACTCGTGTTCCTGCCGTGGTGCAATGAGCACTGTGATACAATTGTGAACTTCAACTTGGTCACACGTCATCGTATAGAACTGGGCCAACCTAGTATGAGCTCCCTCAATGAGCACAACTATCACGCTGGTTTCCTAGCTAGGAGGCAACTGTCAGCGAACCGAGACATCCGCAACCGTCGCGACAGTCGTTATCTGTAAGGGAACTGCTACTGTCCCACAGAACTTACGGTCCTCACTTAGATCCTCTGTTGCTCCATGGGGCCAGTCAGAAAGGTGTGGAGACAGGGCGCGTATTCATCACAGTGGGTTCTACACAGCTGAAACGCCAAGGCGCTGTGGATGAGTTCATCACATTCCGGCGTCTCGGATAACAAGCTCAGGCGCACACATCCGCAGCGTGCATCTTTAGGAGATGGTTCTGAAAGAGGACATAACATCATTGTTTATCATCACATCTGACAGCTAAAGAGGACACATTTGTTGCGAAGCCTCAGCGGTGCTAGACCCACTCTTATGAACCAGCATGCTAACATTTCTGCTGGAAATACACGCGGAGACGACCTAGGGCCTAGTCATTACCGGTCAATTTCTTCTTTGACATGGGCTTGTGGTCCAATTGTTTTTATTCTCAAGAACGTGAGGCATCCGCATGATTAAAAATAAACCGATAGCACACTCTGTGCAGCAGATATTAGGGCTGAACGTCGTGCTATGGTGCCCTTACGAAAATGCCCTCATCCTTGACCCGTAACATACATATGCGGCGGCTGAGTTTACCGAGAGACTAGGAAAGAAGATTACTCGACACAGCCAACCCTCCGTCATCTCTACTACTATTATCCATCCATACCATTGTATTATCTGAGCTGGACCATGACAACGACATGTTTGGATATGCGCCATGCGGCACTCTTAATGCATGATAGGGGTAAGTTGTGCTTGATCTCAAGTTAGGATCCACTTGTGGCAGGTCCATGGAATAATAGTCGTCTTGTGCCGTCAGAAAATTATACTCTGGCACATTTTTAGGAAATGATTGCTGGGACGAAAGATTTTGTCTGTGTTGAGATATCCAGCTACCATCGTTGAAGACGGAAGCAGCAGCCGCATCAATTCCGGACATGTCCAACGAGCACGAGTTGGCTTCGCAGACCATGTTGACAGGATTTTCCTGGTGGGTCAGCTGGTGAACGTCCACCGAGGCCTGATTTCTGGACTCCGCCCGGTTGTGCAACGCGTCGTTTCCCTCGTCATCAGGGCGAACGTTCTGCCGATCGCCAGCGAAGTTCTCTTTCTCTATCATGGAGCCATTCTCATTGGGTTTCGGACTTGTGGTGAGCTCTAGGCTGTCCACGCATCCTTTGGCTGGTTGCTCTCCTTGTTTAGTTCTGGATTTGCGATATTCGGTCGTGTTGGCTACCGCGTGTTGGAAATCTTGATGTAGTTGTGCGAGCGTTTCCTTGGACTCTGCGATTCTTTTGGTGGTATCTATGATTTTTTGGCACGCTGTTCCAACTCTCTCATAGGGCTGTGTTCCTGCATCTTCCATGTTGGCTATCGCATCTTGAAATCCTTGGTGTAGTTGCGTGAGCGCTTCCTGAGACTCTGCGATTCCTTCACTAGTATCTATGATTTTCTGGCATACCGTGCCAACTGTCACATACAGCAGTATTCCTGCATCGCTCTTTCGAGATGGCGCCGTGATCGCAGGATCAAGTATAGTCGTCGAGACATCCGGTGGAAGACTAGCGCGTACGGGCTCTGGTTGCGCATCCACTTCGGCCGTGCCTGGCCGACGGAACAATGGCGAGTCAGGAGCTGCCGCGGAGCTGCTTACAAAGTCCGGGGATTCTGGAGACGATGATGACCAGTCTGAATTTGCAAGATGTGAATCCGCAAGATGTGAAGGGGCTGCTGTGGGTGGGTTGTCGAGACGTCTCGCCGATTCTGGTAATGGCCCTGCGAGCGTCACCAGCGGGCCATTGGTCTGGGTTGTGCTTGACGAATCGATTTCCTCACGTTGCTCCACTCTCCCCTCTCCGTCGCTGCCAGGCCATCGCAGTACGACTGCGGCTGTGCGTGACCAACCGATTCCACGGGACTCCTCTTCCTCCACCTCGTCTTCGTTCCCCTCCTGTTCTCCTTCGTCATGTTTCTTAGCGTGATATACTTCACCCGATGTCTTAAGCCTCTTACAAGAGAGATCGGGCGTGGATGAAGATATGTGCTCCTGCTTGCGTCGTTTGCTCACTGCAGTTGTTGGCGACGTGTCTAGCGGACTTGTCGGCTGTTCCCAATGAGAGACGAGGCCGCTATACTCTGAAGGGGGCGCTTCTGGAAAGGATGCCATTGGACGAGCCGGGGCTACTTTGGCGCTGTCCCTTCTCACGAGACGCTCGTTCTTTATGCCTGATTCGGAGCGTCCCGTTGCCCGTCTCTCCAGGCCTATAATGCTTGCGACATCCCTGCTATCATTGTGCAATGGGTCCGAACTGCTTCCAGAGCGCTCGGAACATTTATCGAGCAGCTGATCCCGTTCGCTTTGCCGTACCTGACTTCGCGAAAGGGAGACTGAGAGTGGCGTTGTGGGAGATGGAACAGTGGTCCCTGATCTCGACACAGGCGTTGAACGGAGTGGAGCCGGTCCTGCCGCAGCAACTGTGTCGGATTCTCCTGTTGAGCCAGGTGTGGGTGAGGGTATAATTTTGCGCTTAGATTGACTCACAGTAGTTGTTGGCGGCATGTCTGCCGGAATTGCAGCCTGTTCTGCTTGGAGAATGACACCATTGTTCTCTAGGGAGAGTGAGTTTGAGGATGCTGCTGGCCGAAGAGACTGGGTTACTTTGCCGCTGTCGATCCTCGATAAGCTCACGAGACACTCGTCTCCGGTGCCTGATTGAGGGAGCTGCGTTGGCGGCCCTTTCAGGATTGCGCTGGTACCGTTCTCCTCGACCACATTATCCAATGAATCCGAGGTAGCTTCAGGGGGCTCTTGCGGTTCATCGAACGACGGGTTCATTTCAGTTTGCTGTGCCTGATTTGTCAGGAGAGAGGCAGCAGACTCGATCATGGGTGGCATTGCGAAAGATGAAGCAGGTGTGTCCAATCTAGTACGAGGTTCGCCTGCTGAGATGGAGTCTACGGCAGCTCGGCGTGATATATTTCCGTCTTTTATACCTTGATCCAGTATGCTCGGTGATCTAGGTGCTCTCGTAGATTTGGCCATTGGAGACCTTTCTACACCATCAAAAGTCGACGAGAGATTCTCGAGAACCGCTTTCAAAAAAAGCTCGATGACATTTTGCCTTCTTTCCGTCTGTTTCATGAATGCTATGCGATATTCTTCACCAGTCGTTGTAAATTCTGAGGGTTCTCCCATGGCGTCAAGTGATTTATAGAACTACTACATAATTAATTCATTGCCTTTACAGAGATCTCAGCATGCTCACTAGATATGCAATCTTACCCGAGGGGTGCGAGAGGTGATCAGGCATTATCGCTTCTCGAAAGAAACTCTTAAGGATGTCGCGTCGACTGCGCGGTGAATTTTTGAATTCAACCTTGCACAGTTCCTTGAAGTTTTTGGATATACCGCTTGGAAGGTCGATTTCGCGTATGAATCGATTGAAGTACTTCGTTCATTAGCTCTCATAATTGCGTAAGATGCGAGCGGTCGTACGTGGTGTGACTTTTGCTTCCCCATCTCGATAAAGGCTGATGAAAGTCTACTCAGCGGACCAAAATGACAGGAGAATTGTTCCAAGTCAAATTGTGGAAGAATAAGCCCATGTCGAACGTATAGAGAAACGAATGCAGGCACATATTAACGAACTGACTACAGAGAGTTGTCGTACTCTCTCTTATACAATGACTTGGTAAAAGAACCCACTTAACTCCATCACATCTAAGGGGAGGACGGGAGTGGGTGACTGGATGCATCAACATGGCGTACTTTGTCTCAATTGATCCTGTGATTTGTGTATCAATACATTGGCAAGATGAATGGCTCGAACTACTGCGGCATATCATCTGCTTGCGGTAGATGTGAACAAGCCCGGACATGAGCGATCAGCGTCGATCAGCGCCTGTGAATAGTACCGAACTTTGCATTGTACTTCGTGGCTAACGAGAACATCTCCCACTATGGCTTGGAAAGACGTTTGAATCCTTCGCCCTCACTGAAAGTTAGACGAAAGACTAATGCACGCGATCGTTGCTTTTTGTCACCTTATTGGACATCAACCGTGCCAGAGCTTCGGTAATTATAGTGAGTGCAATATTTCCCACTAGGGCTTAACAGTTAGGCGTGCATTGATCATTTCATTCATTTCATTCATTTCACTCACGCATTTCACGCATTTCACGCATTTCATTCATTTCACTCACGCATTTCACGCATTTCACGCATTTCACGCATTTCATTCATTTCACTCACGCATTTCACGCATTTCACGCATTTCACGCATTCTTATACATGTTAAAACAGAAGCGTGTGCTGCTCTAGGACTGAAGCGCTTATGAAGGGGACTGACAATCATTTCCCAACGGCTCTCGAATGCTAGGACTAGGATTTCACCTAGTAGCACTGTCTCCTATAAAAGCACGGTGATGGCGGATTCAGGAGGGGCGCTTGGAGTAGAATGCACGGAGTGAAGCGAAATGAGTGAAGTGAAACGAGTGAAGTGAAACGAGTGAAGTGAAACGAGTGGAATAAATGGCGCAGTCCTTTGGGATTAGCGTTTCAAGCTAAAAAGCATGCTGCCCACCAACTGACTAATTTTCATTTCACTTCATTCATTTCACTCTACACCATTTCGCATCGTCACCTCCGCCATCGAAACGAGATGATGTCGCAAGGAATCCCTTTGCCAAACGAGAATGGCACCTCCGACATATTATTACGTCTTGAAGAAAAGGCGAAGCAAATATCTAGCAGTGGCCTAACACGCAAAGACCAAATATTGCTTCGAAGTGGGCGACTTCAGCTGGCCTGGGGTGAAGTGACCTCGAAATCAAGTGTTTCGCTGTGGCGAAAGAAACGGGCTCGCCAGCTTTACAATGAAATTCAAAGCATGAGTCCCAGCTTAGGGTTTGTGGTCTTAATCTGTGTCACACCAACTGAGTGTGCTCAAAAAAGCTTCGATCATGTGATGCAAATCCTCAGCCGTTTGGATCATTACGAGACATTTCGACTCAAGCTGGACTCGATTGCAAAGAGGTTTCTGGAGTCAACAGCTGCCGAGCAAGGCTTTACAAGCAACAAGTTGTTCTTTGACTTTATGAAGTCAATGTTTCCAGATGCAGATCAAGAACCAAGAAGTGAGTGGTCGGCTTTTGCGTTTCGCTTTTAAAGTTTGACAGCGATAGAAATAAAATTTGCATACACCAACATCAGTTTTGAGAAGATCCCTCATTTCCTCGAATACATCGTAGCTGGCATACTCTCAAGTCAGGCCGTGAAGGGAGAGAAGAGTCATGGATTGGCTCAAACAGGAAGTTTGACCGTTATGGTGCCTACAAGTTCTCTAGAAGATGGATCTTGTAACATCCTTGTTGACCGCAAGACTCTCATGGATGCCATATATAAATTTGGATTCAAAGAGCTTCCGCTCGAGAGAACATGATTTTACACCCAAGCACCTCGCAGTCTCGTCCTGAAGGAACGAAAAACTTCTGTGGTTTGTCCGTCGTGTAACCTTCATCGCCTCCGATGACTCGTACAAAGCCAACCCCTCCTTCTTTGTTCGGTAAAAACGATATCCATTTATGAGCCTCCTCCTTCTTGAATATGCCATCGGCTTGCCTCCAAACGTCATAGACAGTCTGCTCAATGTAAAGAAACGATTAGCGGCTTCTCGTGCGACCTAAATTGTACGCTTAACTGGATCATTAGGATTCATTATCCCGTCCGCTGCCGTTTCTCCAGAGCTTTCCGGTCTCAGCGAAGTCATCGCGACGTTCCGGTACAATGTGCAAAGTGGGTGTTCGGTAGTTTGTTCCATATGAGAAATTGTGCTGGAGTCATTGCTGCCTAATCATTCGTTGTGAAGAGGGGTACGTGTAGACTTGATGACGTGTCTGTATGACATAATTATTTAATCACATGATATGCTAATAATACTCAGCACACATAGCCTCAACCTGAATCTTGGTGGGGCAGAGAAATGGCTAGCAGGGTAGGCATTGTCTTCGATTAAAGGAAGCCCCAGCTTCTATCCCGCCCACAGACGCTTTCCCATCTCGCCAGGAGCGATCTGATAGTTGGCCACTGTTTACAGGGCGCGATATTTTCCTGTCCCAATTGCGATTCCCACTATGGCCGTGCAGCGTGGGAAAAGGACGCCACTCGAATTCTACAAGCAGGTGGGTGCAATGAGAAATCAAATCACGTGAAAAGTGGAGCTCACTCCATCAGCTTTGCGAAAACTTCAGCAATGAACATACATCACATATATAGAGAAATCACTATAAAAACTACGTAGAATTAAGGCGTAAAGTTTCTATTCCCTTTACGCTTTATGCAGTAATCATTGGGTCTGGGAAAATCTCTAATTTTTTTTATTTATCGCACGCCTAGCATCATAACTAAGATAACCCTCTACTTAGGGGTATAATATATCATGGCACAAGATATATACATCACGTTCCAAATTTCGTGCACTCATTAGTTGATTTTTAATCGCGCTTTGCCTTTTGTATGAAAGTCGGAAATCTAATACTGCGCTAGGTGGTAGCCAATGACTGTGCCGGCCTTTGTAAGACCAGCAACGTCAAGCTCTGTGATTGGATTGTGGGGTCAAGAGGGCGCTAATCTACCTTAGGATATCCCACTGTGTCCGCGGGCATCTCGCAGCAACACGAGAACGGACACATACCGCTCGGATTTTGATCGTCTGTGCTACGACTACTTCTCCACTCAGAAGTATAACGAACAGTACATCCCTTACCATCTGCTCCAACCTGCCTTCCCATTGCCCTTATCTGCTGCCCCATCGTCGAAGAAGGATTGGCAGAAAATTGATTTACACTAAGCTTGATTCATCCACCCTATTCACGAGACAAGCCACCCATATCAGCCTAATATTACAGCGGCTGAGACAGAAATTAGTAATGTAGATGTATCGGGTGTGTTCTCTGTCAATGACTACTTCCGACGGTTGGATACAAGCAATCAATTCCATAATTGCATGGAAAGACAATGTTGAATGCGTAACCATTTGAACCTGCCGTGCCGCTCCATGCAGCCATGCTCTCCACCAAACACACTGCATCTGTGACGATATTCGCTGATCCTGGAGTCCCTGGGGGCGAATTGTCCGCACAATCAATATGACCGCAGGGCCATGTGACCCGCACGAAACAATTGACCCTGCGTGTTGAAGCAAGTGATTGAGATTAATTGTACTACTAGAATATCGGGGGAGGACGCTATATATATATACATCCATATCGCTAGCCCCTGTCTCAGCCACAGTGATAATCAACACTCCCACTCGTTGGACACCCGAAGGGTGTGTCAACGATCTTGTATCACGCTTCTCACAGGCCCCATCAAAACCTCCAAAACCCACTTGAGGGAGAAAAGAAGGAAAGGGAACCCGTGTGTGTATCAGCGGGGGCTGGTAAACTCCAAACACTACTCAATGCCTAGCCCGTTTCGAAACCATTCGAACCTATCTCGCGCTAATGGCTTCGTGAAGCCATCAGCTATCTGCTCTGCTGTTGAAACGTACTTCAGTTCAACAGTTCCTGCCTCTCGGATCTCTCCTTGCCATTTGCGCTGAATATCCATATGCTTCGTGCGTGAGTGGTACTGCGGGTTCGAGGATAGTGCGATAGCTCCTTGGTTGTCGCCACATATGATCGTTGCGACTTTCCCTTGACTCAGATTCAATTCCTCCAGAAGTCTTCTCAGCCAGACTGCTTCTTTGGTTGCCTGGGTCTGCCCCAAGAACTCTGCTTCGCAGGTGGAAAGTGCAACGACGCTTTGTCGCTTGGATTGCCAGCTGATTGCTCCACTCCCGATATTAAACAAGTATCCGGCAGTCGATCGTCGAGTATCGCGACAGCCAGCCCAGTCCGCATCCGTATATCCTTTCAACATTTGAAGAGTACCCTTGTAGGTCAGCCGGAGATTCTTAGTACCTTTCAGGTACCGTAGGATCCGCCGAACGAGTTTCATGTGTTGAGGTCCTGGGTTTATCAAATATCGGCTTGCAATAGAGACTGCATACGCGATGTCCCCCCTGGTCCCGAGCATGATGTACATCAGGGATCCCACAACGCGCTGATACTCGGCCCTTTGGTTTGGAGTACAGCTGTAGTCTGGGCTGTTATCATGCGGCAGTGAAGTCTCGATCGGCGTGCTGACTGGATTGCAGTGGTCGAGTCCGAACTGATGAACGATCTTGTCGATGTACACGCCTTGACTGAGGTAAAGGATCCTGTTCTGACGATCTCGCTGGATGGACATCCCCAGGTAGTAGCTACACGGCCCGAGATCTGTCATCTGGAACCGATTTCTCAGGGAGCGCTTGATGCTTTTGATCTCTGCGATGCTTGGTCCCACGATTAAGAGATCGTCCACGTACACCGCAATGTACATGCTACTCCGGACGAAGATGCCAAGATCAGCGTTGATGGGTTCGAAGCCGAGTTTCTGCAAGAAGTTGGTAAGCGTCTGGAACCAGATACGGGGCGCCTGCTTGAGCCCGTAGAGTGCCTTTCGAAGCTTGCAGACTCTCCGTGTTCCATCCGCCGTGTGATGGGGCTGCTCAACATAGATCTCATGGTCGATGTCACCGTATAGAAAAGCAGTCTTGACGTCCATCTGCTCGATTTCAAGGTCCAAGGCAGCTCCGATTGAAAACAGTGCCTTGTAGCTCATTGGCTTCACCACCGAGGCGAATGTTTCGTCGTAGTCGATGCCTTCCTCTTGCGTGAAGCCTCTCACCACCCATCTGCTCTTGTAGCGAACGATTTCTCCGTGGGGTCCTCGTTTGAGCTTGAAGACCCATTTACCGCTGAGCACTCGTCGATCTCTGGGCGGTTCGACAAGCTCCCACGTCTTGTTCTGCTTAAGCGAGTCGACTTCTTCGAGCATGGCCCTCTCCCATTCAGGCCAGCGTATGTCATCTCTTGCTTGACGAAGGGTCTTGGGTTCGAAGGGTTCCGTTTCTGCTGCGGCCACTGTTAGGAGAGCTGGGATTACGTTATCATCAGCAACATTCATCAGCGCGAGTTCTTGTTCATCGCCGCTGAGTACGTCGGCTGTGCTCTGCGAGAAACGAACTCGCAGTTCAGGATGGCGTTGCGAAAGTACGTGTTGCGCTGTATATTGAGCGCGATCAAGCTGGGCTTCTGAATTCTGTACTGAAGCTCCTGCTGCTCGATCATGTGGAGCGTCGTCCCGTTGCTGGTCGCCGTCCGACAGTGGATCGATTTCTTCCGGACCATCGGTAAAGGATCCAAAAGTATCATCACTACTAGGAGACGACAGGGTTATAGCTCCCTGTTCAGCAATTGGCTGCGAGTTATCGTTACTCGATCGGGAGAGCGCTCGCCCTTCCGTGTTATCGTCACACGGTCGGGTTGTTTGCGAGATATTGTTACTCGACTTGGATGGTTCTTGCGAGATATTGTTACTCGTCTTGGATGGCGCTTGCGAGTCATCGTCACTCAGCTGAGATAGCGCTTGCTCTGTCGGCGCCAAGGATATGTGGCGCCCAGATGCTGGTACGGATGGTCGCCGCAAATAGGTTGACGGTTCATTATCTAGCCCTACCGTCATGCTCCCCCCTGCGGCAGCAGCCGTTGCCTCAGGTAAGCTATATCGTTCAGCTCCCACATCTGGTATCGTTTGTGTGGAGGGGGCGTTAAGGACTTCTTGAAATTCGGCATTCGGGGACCCAACGATCCTTCCATCTGCAAGTAGGATGCGGTAGTTGGTATTGCCCTCATAGCCTAGCAAAACACACGGTCTCGTTCTCGAGTCCGTGAGCTTCTTTCTCTGCTTCGGGGGCACCAGGTACTCCCCCCTCGATCCGACCACTATTAGCCTCGAGAGGTCAGGCTTGTCTCCATACCAGGCCTGATAAGGCGTCATCTGAAGCCTAGACGAGGGCGAGCGGTTCGAAAGGTAGGCTGCCGTTCGAGCTATTTCTGGCCAAAACGTCCACGGGAGGCGTGCATGGGCCAGGGTGGGCCCCACTCGGTCGTAGATCGTCCTGTGGGCTCGTTCGGCAACACCATTCTGCTGGTGCTGGTCGATTCCCGTGACCTCGGCCTGGATGCCCCGGGAGAAGAGGACGTACTTCATTTCTTCTCCCACTTGCTCGGGAATCCGATCCAGACGTATGCGCCGGCACTTTCGTTCTGGACGTTCGTTATGATCGAGAAAGAAGCGTAGCGATTCGATAACGAATCCCTGTCGTCGTGGTATGGGGATGACTTCGATCCAGCCAGTGCAGTCGTCGACGATGGTAAGCCAGTATCGGCTACCATCGAGCCCCTCGTCGAACGGGCCTGCGGCGTCCATGTGGAGGAGTTCCATTGGGTATTCTCCTTTTCGACCCGGATGGCGATGGGATTTCTCTATCATCCTTCCTACGAGACATGGGTTGCATGGATCTCTTGGCTCCATGTCTCGCACACCATGAGCTTGCTTTTTCAGCCGTCGCAGATTTGCGTCGCTCAAGTGAGCCAGTCGATTGTGCCAGAGTCGCAGCTGAGCGCTGGCATGGTAGGCCGGGAAGCAGAGGTTTGTCCACAGATCGAGCGCATATACCCCTTGGTACTGACTTGCCGTATACAGATTCCTCCCGTTCGATTTGTTCCGAATGAGAGCGCCCTGGCTGGAGAATTCGACTTTTGCGCCACGATTTAGGAGCTGGAGCACGGAGATGAGATTCGCGTGTGCAGACGGAACGAAAAGAACGTGATCGAGGACAAGCCACTTCCTCCTGCCTCGTGCGCTACACAGTACATTTACCGTCCCTACGCCGGAAGGACATGTCGAAGCATCTACGCTTCGGAGCGGGGGCCCGTGATATTCGTCTATCTGAACGAACCTCGACGCGTTGTTGCAGACGTGTTGAGCACAGCCACTATCGACGATCCAGGCGTCGCGGATGGGAAGTGTCTTCGCAGCCATCATCGCGAGATGACACTCAACATCCTTTCCAAATGCCGCATTGACGTCGTCTATCAGAGTCGTTGTTGCCATGAAAGTCGGCCTCTTGGGGTCTTTCGGGCCGCTCACATCGTCCTCCTCATCATCGGAGGCGTGCTGCCTCTTGAGCGATTTGCGCCCGCCGTGATGTGGGTCAGTCATTTGTGCCTTGTGCCTCCTGCTTTCTCGACTCTGACTCTTCAAGCTGGGGTTCTTTTTGAAGCACTTGATCTCCACGTGATAAGGAGTGCGACAGAATGAGCAGTAGGGCACATTGTCAATCTCGATCCGACAGGCGGTTCCGTTCGGCGAGGGTATAACCTTCTTGTGGCCGGACCCTCGTAGCATGGCCAGGGCCGGAAGTACTTGCACCTCCGTGGGAGGTTTCCCCAGCTGGCCCTTCCTGTGCTCTTCTTCGATTGCCTTGTTTTCGATGTAATCGAACGTAGGTGCTGCTTTGATGACATGACCGTCGGCATCTCTGTCGTTGACAAGATCCATCTGTCTGAAGATGTGATCGCGAAAGCTTTCATAATCTGGCCCCAGCGCGTGCATGAAGAAGAATGTGCGCTCAATCTCCGAGGTGACACAGCTGGGATCGAGGAGAAGCTTCTCGGCGTGGATCCGTCTGATCTCAGCTCCGAGTGCTTGGGCACTCCCGCAGGTCTCTCGTGTAAGGGACATGTATCGCCGCTGCAGGTGGACATACGTTCCAGAGCCTTCTGGCTTGAAGTTCTCTTTGACGGCTTTCAGGAGAGCTTCCACTCGCCGAATGCCAGAGGCATTGATTCGTTGCGCGGCGTTATGGCTCAGCTTAGCCGTGATCATCGCCGAGTAGAACTTTTGGCGGCGATGCCATTGCTGCAAGTCCTCTTCTTCCAATGGCGGATCTGCTCCGTCGTCGGCAACAGCAGATATTCGAACGAACTCGTTGACCTTCTGGCTCCACTTGAACCAACCGTTGGCGTTGTCCAACACTGGGATAGCATTGTAGAACGCATTGAGACCAAATTGTTCAAACTTCGCAATGTTATCCATGATCTTGTTCAGTTCTCTTCAGCGCTGAAGAACTCGGCGCCGTCGCTGGAGAAGCTAGATCCAGGAGAGAGAAGGCGTTCTGGCGAGTCGGCTGGACGCACTTCCAGACCGAAAAGTTCCAGGCTGGATATGCTACCAGGTGCACTTGAGAGGTTAGAAGGACTACGATCGGATAAGTCTGGCGTAGGCGAGTGCGATGGAGGTACGTAATCTTCGTCTAGGACCGTGTGCAATCTTGAAAGATTTCTGCACGTCCTGGCACAATGGGGAAAACGTATCTGGTCCACCTGATCCAGAGGTTCGCCAGTCCTCTGAAAGCTCCGTGATCTGTTGGGTCGGAGGTTGTAGCGAGTCGTAACGTTGTGGGACGTTGTCTGAGTTTCTTCTGCCGAACTCGATGAGGACGAGCTAATGATGGCGGCGCGTCTTCTAGGTTGAGGAGCTAAGTTGCGGGTGGAGCGGGATGAAGGCCCTGGTAGTCTTCTCGAGAAAGAGGCACGAGTAAGAAATTGTTGGTATGTGTTGTCCAGAGTGCTAGAGGTAGTAGACGTGCTCTTGGTCAGAGATGCGACAATTGATGCACGGTAAACCCGGTCCTCATCGGACGTGCGTGTGTAGGCGTTACTGATGGCGCTTTTCGTCATAGACGGGAGGTACGTTTTCTGGATACGAATCCAAGGCCAGTTGTGGTACAGTCTCAGGTATGAAATGAGATTGAGTTCGTCATCTGTCCAGGAGTGACGTATTATACGTCGAGGTAACCTCCTTGGAGGCAAATGTAAGGGCTCTCTTGTTGGAAGAGGTAGTAACTCGGAGAGATCGATCTTGGGTCTTGGAGCTGGTGTTGGCATCTTTTCGACCCCTTATTCTTGATTGCACATCGTTCTCATATAGCTTCATTGCCCAAAGAGCAGCCATAATGGTATCTGATCCCTTGGCTGCGGCATCTTATCGTGCAAATGTGATAAGTGGTCGTATGACCTCGGCGTCTTATCGCAATACTGTGCCATATGGTCCTGTGACTTCGGCAACTTATCGTGTCACTGTGATATCTGATTCCATCACATCTGTGGCGTATGTGATTCGGGCGGAACAAGTATATTCCGCCTCATCTTGAGATTTCATTGGGTTGCTATGTTATCGATGTCAGTTTTATCTCTGATAAGGTTATCACTTGCTGCGGAAGCTTAGCTTGTAGATATGGTATCTTTATGTTTGATGCGTGCAAAACCCGGGCTCATAACCTGTTGAAGCAAGTGATTGAGATTAATTGTACTACTAGAATATCGGGGGAGGACGCTATATATATATACATCCATATCGCTAGCCCCTGTCTCAGCCACAGTGATAATCAACACTGCGGCCCTGTCGCCCGCACTCGCGAAAGTCCCGTACGGGCCCTTGACGGAAGCAGCCTTGGCAACAATGGCGCCCGCTCTCCCTAATCGCCCGCGCGGGCTCGCTGATCCTCGGCGCCCTACCGTCTATCGCTTTCCCGAGTTTGGGGTTCCGCTTTTCGGAAAGGCCCACTTCTACCCGCCATCGCGCCGCTATACAGGGAACGCCTACTGGCCAATAGTTGCAGGCCCTTCTGCAGCCCGCATGCCACCGATGGCCGTACGGGCTCTTCTAGCGCTGATGACGCAACGGCAGACTAGCTGTTATCGGAAACGAGTTTAGAAATGCAGGCTCGAGGCACTTCGTCTTCATTCTTCGGAGAGGTAGAATGGGAGCCCAACTCTCGAAACCGAAAAGCCATGCAACATGTCCATGTTCCAGCGCGATTGCCGGATTCGGCCACAATCTACCCATGCTGCCCCTTCGCGAACTCAAGACGGCGACTCAAAAGAAGACGCAAATTCACTGAAGTGCCCCTGAAGATTGAAGAGGTAGACGCAGCGTAGCTCATGGGCGCTCAAGTCTTCCCGTTAACGAGGTATCACCATCGACGGTGTCCAGCGCTGCAGGTTCTTCGTCAACTACATCTCAAACTACATCCGCGACATCACAGATTCTTTTGCATAAATAAAGAGAGGTATTGGAAAAGGGCACTTCGTCAACTGCTAGGGAAGAAGCTTAGATGATTTGAATCGATAGCAACAGGCTAGCTTCATAGCAGGGAGGCATTCGGATGGATGTCTTATTGACCACACTCCTTTCTATTAGAATATTTAAGCAGATTGAGCTTGCATGGATTCGGATTGTATGTGCCGAAGTCAGCATCCGAAAACCATTCCGCCAAGTTGAGGGGTTTGTAAGGCCGTTGTGGCTTTTTCTCGCCTGTTTATGACGCTTGGAGAAGTCAGTCTCATGTATCATGTCGGACTGGGACACACACTGAGTTATAAGGACATTGGGACAAGTAATCTCCGTAGCAGAGATCGCGTACGTGTGGACCAATGAAAAGGCTGACGCGATATGTCTGGCTTACCTGCTGCGTCTGATGTGCTCCTAAACGGCCCCTTCGTGCTTACGGGAGAAGTAATGAAGAGCTCAATCAGGATGGTGGCTTGCAAGTTCCTAGCATGGTCACCTACACTCCTACCCAGGCAGATCATGATAGGGATGATTGCTTGGGTTGAGTTGGCACGGGGTGTACATCTTGAGATAGCATCTTCGAATTGGGACGAGTACGCAAGACCACAGGTAGGGGGAGTGGGTAGAGTCAGAACTCCAGCCTTGCATCTCATTTTCTGGCTTCATCCTGATAGTTACGGGACCCAAGTGGCATTAAGGGAGCAGGTCCTAGTCTCCGTACAGACTTGCATCGACGTTTCTCGTGCGGCTCATGCATTGAGCTACATGGCTTACGCTGTGACCGGCATATCCACAGCGCCACCGTGACCACACTTTGAAACTCTCGGTGTGATTCGAGTCGGTACTGCAGCGCCGTAAGGCGACCTTGCGAAAGTAGCCGCTCTTGGCAACACCTTGTTGCCAAGAGCAGTATATAGCTTTGATAGTCGGAGGGAGCATAACCGCACCTCCGAAGCAGCACATGTATGAATATACAGGGGCTACCGACATGGCGCTCTCGCGTGTCTAGATTTGTCATTTCATCTAGCTAAGTCGACGTGCTTTCTTTTGCGTAAACCTTATGGTTGCATGGCTCCCACGACTTATATTCTTAGGCGCTCTGTAGCCGGCATATGCGGCTTGTTTATGTTTTCGGTTGAGCGCATGAACACTTGCTGGTCGACTAGGTATCTCACGTTGGTATGGTGTGGGTAGAAGGTGAACGTAGGAGAGGAGGGCGCGCAAGGGTTCGGCATAGTCGAGAACTGGCTGTTGAACACTGCTACACTGCGACTCCTTTCACCCGCGCCTGAGACTTTTAGAGACATATATTTGCTAGAGCTGGCGAAGACTCCGCTAGCTCACGTTTTCTGCAAACGTGGATATCTCACTCCTTCTCGAGTCGCGAGACTCTGCGTCTTAGCCTGCTGCCAATAAGCATACCACCT